ATGCATTTTCAGCTAAAGCGCACAAAACCGCCTCTCAAACAGCTCGCGACTCTCGAGTGTCAGATTGAGTTATTACATGTTTGATTAAAATCATTTCCTTATTGTCCGGCTATTCCATTTTATTTATCCATGGCACATGCATTTTTTTATATGTAGCCTAAGTAATGTTGTCCAATGACTTGTTCACATTATTTAGGCATTAGATTTAAGCCAATAGATTTTTTGGTAACACTTTACAAAGCAACAATTTTTAAGTCTCAACAAAGTCTCATTTGTTAATGCATTAATTAACATGAACTAACAGAGAGCAATTACAATTATTATTATTAAGTTAAAAGTGAATCTAGTAGGGGTGCTCCGATCAGGATTTTTGAAGTCGATCACCAATCACAGAAAGCAGTATCTGCCGATACCGATCTTTTTAAAGCCTTCTTTTTATCATTTACAACTCTTTATAGTGATACTCCAATCAGGATTTTTAGACATTTATTCAGGGCCTGAATTTCATTTTTGAAAATTGACTGTGAAACACAGTAGACTTTAATAATATGCATTTATGGTGTAATTACTACATTTTCGTGTCAATCCATGTTCATATTTACTGCAAACAATGCGCAGTTACTTTAATTCAGCTGCTTGCAGCGCAGCAAAAATAGACTCGGTGTGGAAACGATCTCTGCACTGCTGCAGACGCAACGCTACTGGAACGCACTGCCGGACCTCAACAGTGTGCAGTGCACGCTTTATTAATCCGTTAACATGAGTGCAGAAAAAATACGCACCACATACGCACTGCAAACGGAGTAATGTGAACATGGCATTATGTGTGTGTGCTGCGAGTGTGCATGAACGCATGGTCTCCAGGAGAACTGTGCAGCTCGCTTATAGACAGACGCGATGTGGTGATTTGAAGCCATTTGCGCATTCTGTCTTGATCGGGGGTGAAAGAGGGAGAAAACCGAAGATGACACACATATATAGTTTATGTTCGACTTGGAAGTATTAGCGATCGGCGCTAAAACGTCATCTGTACGGAACATCGTCGTGTACGGAACATGGTTAGTCTACGTTACCCGAAAAATTCCCATACGACAGATTTTCCAAACCGCGGTATACCTTGAAACCGGTTATCGTCCCATGCCTAATATATATATATATATATATGTGTGTATGTTTATGTGTATGTGTGTGTGTGTATGTATATGTATGTGTATGTATGTGTGTGTGTGTGTATATGTGTATATGTGTGTGTGTGTATG